CTCACGTCTAAAGAGCTTGGTCAAGGCCTATAAATAAGTTCATCAAGGAAAATCATCTGCATATCAGCTGTTCTCATGTTTGATATCTCCACATTATGAAAGCACGTCCAACTTTTTTAACATTAGACAGATGGAAAAACAGCTGTTCTTTTTTGCTTTCTGGGTGATCTTCTTAAAAGGCCATGGACAAGGCCTATTAATCAGCTGTTTTCAAGTTTGCTGTCAAAATCCATTATTGTAAATTGACTTCACATTCTGGAAACGTAAACAACGTCCAAGTTGTTGGACATTAAACGAGAAAAATCACATGTTCTTGTTTGCTTTTTGAGTGACTGTATAAATAGGTCTCGGGCAAGTTGTATAATCAGCTGTTTTTTTGTTTTCTTGGGGTTAATCAGCTGTTTTTAAGTTTTTCTGTAAAAATCAATTATTGTGAATTGACGAATTTTTTGACAATAAACTTGAAAAAAGGGATCTGCTGTTTTCGCATTTTTATCGAAATAATAATCGATTTTTAGTAAACAAATTTATCGACTTTGGCAAAACCGAATAAGCGGTTTAGGTAAATAGAATAATTCGTACTGAAATATCTTCGACAAAAATTTTTTTTTTGGTAAATTGAAAAATAGATGTTGAAACCGAATATTTTTTTCAACGAAGTAACCAAATAACCGATATTAATAAAACGACCAATCGTTGGCTATGTTGAACCAAAAAAATTCCCATTATGGACAAGGTAGCTGGTTTTTTTAATCGAGTAATTAAATTTTTGAAGATATAGCAAGGAGGGGTTTTATTAACCAAATAACCAATTGTAACAATATAAATAATCGTTGGCTATGTTGCACCAAATAATTTCCATTATGGATAAGGTAACCGGATTTTTTAACCGAGTAACCATTTTTTTGTTAATGATTAATCAATTCAAATAAAACCGATAAATTATATTGAATTTAATTTATTTATAGTTCGTTTAATTAAGTTTTCGAAAAGCGAGTAATCGGGTATTTATAGTCCGTATATTTGGTTTTACTACAACGAATAGCCGTATAGTGAATTGTTGTCTAAGTTAAACCGAATAATTTCAATTAATGTACTCTTGGTAATTGGATTTGTTAAACGGAATAACCCGTTTTGGTGAACCGAATAACCGGTTTTGGTGAACCGAGTAACCGGTTTTTGGTGAACCGAGTAACCGGTTTTGGTGACCCGAATAACCGGTTTAATAATTTTTTTTTTCGTAGCTTCAATGTTTTTACTGTTAATAATTTTCCTTCAAAAAAAAACATTGATTTAATGGTGAATATTTGAAAACAAATTTTCTGTTGTTGTTTTTTCATTTGTCTTTAAGAAAGCTATTGTTTGTTGTTGTTGTATATTGCTTATGTTTGTTTTGTTTAGAAAAAATCTATTGTTGTTATTTAAAAAGAAGGTATTCTTTATGTAGGTAGGTATGTAGAAAAAATAAGGAGTTATTTCACTGTAGGATAGCACCAATTCTATTTAATTATTGTTTGTTATTATTATTAGTATTTTAACTATTTCATTTTCATGTGGGATCGATCTTGTAATAAATTTTAACTATGGTTATTTTTATTTCTTTTTTTTTACAAAACAAACTAACAAACAAAATCAATAAGTTAATATGAAGAAAACAAACATTATGTTATGGTTAAATATTTAAAATAAAAAAAAACTATTTCTATAAGACTATTTACTTACATATGTATGATTTTAACGTGAATGTAATTGTTAAGGTTTATTTAATTATTATTTTTATATATTAATAACTTTAGTAACAACCAATTGAAATTCTTGTATGCTGTGTCATTGTTTATTGTTGTTGTTGTTAATTTTTTCCATCATGTTAGATGATGGTAAAAATTTTATAATAAATAAACAACATTGGATCACATGAGATCGTTTGCTATTTTGTTGAAAGTAATACGTTTTGTGTCTATATATATATGTGTGTCTGTGTGTACATACTTAAAAAAATAGAGTATAGGTATTATTTAAAAAAAGAATATATGTATTAAAAAAATGAAAACAAGTGTTTTGAATTTTTTTAAGTTATTTTTTTGTATGCCTACAATTTTTTACGGATTTTAGTCTGCTAACAAATTAAATGAAGAGAAAATATGAAAAACCAAAGATTTTCACTCTCTTGGCCATGGGTTCGTATGAGTTATTTTAATACAATGGACGCAGGTGTCGTATGAGTATTATTAATTTTAATTATACTCAATATTAATTGGTATTTTTGGGGAGGTTGAGAATTGATTTTAAAAAATATTAAAATAGCTTAAATTGCCTTTGTAGGCAAGGGTTTTATATTAGAAATTATTAAAAAATTGAAGTGGGTAAGGAAGTTTTAACATTTTTATACCTTACACAACTATGTTGTCAGGGTATTAAAGCTTTGTGCAGCCCCAAGCTGAGTCGATCTAGACATGTGTGCCCGTCCGTCTGTCCATTATAATTTGTAAACACGATACAGGACACAGTTATGTACCAATCTTCACGAAATTTTGCATGTAGAATGGGTTCTGGCCAATGAAGACCCCTATTTTTTGGTACAGATCGGTTAATATTTAGGGGATGAAATGGACCAAATACTAATATTTTGTCGGTTTTTCTGGTCGCTCCAGAGGCGACAATTATGGCCCGAACATGGTGAAATTTCACATACCTGTTTTGAAAAAGATCGGTCAATATTTAGAGGGTCAAATGGACCCTGACTTTTGTGTGAAAAGTGGCAATTTTTTTTTTCTATAGCGTATATATTTACTCCTTAAGGACATAGACCCCAGAAGTTGATAGTATATTCAAGAGGAGTGACTGGCCTTTAAAGTGATACCAATTATATTGTCGTATGTTTTTGGATGTGGGAGTTACACTTAAATAATTACAGGTGCTTACGTATGATGATCAGATAATAATTTTGGGATGAAATGTACAAAAACTTAATTTTTTTCATCACCATACAACCTAAGGTCAATCAGGACAAGTAATAAGAAGGGCTGTAGTGAATATTTGTAATATTCGGAAAATGTAAGGAAGATGTGCTGTTGACCACTAATCGGGTAAGAGGGTGCAAATGTCACGAAATATTTCTCAGCCTCGGAATAAACTTCTTTAGAAAGTTGGAACTCTGTCGTAGTTGTGTAGGGTATCGTATGGTTGGCCCCGTCCGACTATACCGCTCCGCTCACTAGTTTTCTTGTGTTATCACTTCAAAATTTGTAGGAAAATTTAGGAAAATAATTCCAAAAAGAAAATTTATGAAATTTATTTTGGATTTTGGGCTTCAATAAATGGCCAAGGATTTTTTTTTGTAATTTAAAATTAAATCACCCAAAGGAGTTACCTCCAAATATTTTATTGAAAAAGTTAAAATTATTTTAAAATCTTTCTTTAATAGTTTTTTTGAATTTTTGACTGTTGAAAAATGTGCAGTGTAAAATTAAATCATTCTCAAATTCCCCCCAAAATATTTTGTTTTTTTTTTGAAAAAAAATTTTAAATTAATTTTTATTTGATTTATTGATTTTTTTTAATTTTCTTTTAATACATTCACCAATTATTTGATGGTGGCGACCTGATTTTGAGAATCCTAATTTTTTTAACTTTCATATTAACCCTTCACTTAATTTACTTATATTTTGTTTTTGTTGTGGTGTATGTCAAATTTTGAATGAAAATTAAAGAAAAAATATTTTTTTATGGAAAAATTTTATACCGAAAATTTCCATTATATATTTTTTTCTGCCTGTATACAAAATTGTTGGTTTATTGCAAAAAGACAGTTAGACTGTTCCGAATGATTCCAATCGGATTTTTTGTTTAAAAAAAGTAAAAAAAATCATCTTGGTTTTGATATTTTTAAAACACAACATAACAATAGGAAATTAGGTAAATAATTTTTTGTTTAGCAAATATTATTGGTTTTTGTCTCTAAATGCTATATAATTTGTTATCTATTAGCAGGTCTTGTCCGCTTATTTTTTTCTCTTTGTTTTAAGCCAGGAGGGAGTGTTTGCTAAAGCATTCTGTTTTTATTTTTTTCATTGTCTTTACTTTTAAATATTATTTTTGCCTATAAATCCTAATGTCATATTGTGTGTGTGTGAAACAGTTTTGGTTTGTCTTTATAGGTTTTCTATATATATATTGATCTTCTTCTATATATATGTATGTAGGCATAAATTTCAATATGTATTCAGCATCTTCTTCTTTCAGTTTCTCTAAATATAGATATATAATTTTTTTTTGTTTGATAATTTTTATTACAAAAAAATCCATGTATAATCCTTGCATATACTCTATATATATGTATATATAATAAGTATATATTTGTTTGTATGTATTTTATACATTCAACTCTTAGTTTTCTCGTGTCTTATTGGATTTAAATTATATTTTCTTTCAATTGATATTCTTATTTCCTTTACACATTTCTTCACTAAAATCCCATAAGGGGGAGAGGCGGTCGGTCTCTTTTTTGGGTTTCAGGCGGGGGATGAAATTTTTAAATTAATTTTTCTTCCCCCTCGATTTTGAATTAAAATATTCTTAAAATCATTTTGTTTTCCTTTGATGCATAATTAAAGGGTCTTCTATACAGTTGGGTTACATATATATAAAAAATCACTTTTTTTACAATATTTCTCTTTTTCCCTTAATGGGAAAAAATTTCAGTTTTGGGAAAATTTCCACCAAATATCACAAATTTCCCCCGTTTTCACGTTCAAATCAGTAACAACTGTTTTGTTTTAGTAATAGTTGTGTTGTTGATACTGATACTGATATTGTTGCTGTGGTTGTTGTTGTTGTGTTGCTGGTGGTGGTGATGGTTCTTGATGTTGTTGTTGTTGTTGTGGTATGTTATCATAGTCATTTTTAATATTCACATTGTTGTAATTGTAGGTATTATTGTTGTTGTTATTATTATTAATAATATTATTGTTGTTACTGCTGCTGATGATGTTGCCATTATTGTTGTTGTTATTATTTTGGTTTATTATATTATAATTGTTATTATTATAATAATAATAGTAATAATAATAATAATTTAATAATAAACTAAAATCGTTTCACTATTGCGGCAACTCATCTTTTGTATCCACCGGACTTGGGGTCAAATATTTCCGGGCATATTTGGGAAAATGAGTTTTTTCGTGCGCCTTCAATATCGTTGATCGTGAAAATGTCTTGCCGCACATTTGACATCGAAATGGACGTTCACCTAAATCAAGATCAAGATACATATTTCAGATATATAGCTCTTAAGAAAAAAAAAATTAAAAAACAAAAACATACAAGAAACAGAAAGAAATCTTGCTATCGGGTACTATCGGGTATTGTCGGCACACGAGTATAATAGATTTGTTCACGAGTACTGTCGGCACACGAATATAATAGATTTGTTCACGTAGCGAACATGTATGTATTTTTAGTAAATATAGTAAATTTCTTGCTAGGGGTCTCTTGTGTAAAGGAGCAAGCTCGCCGTGAAGTCTTGATTCGTATCATTCGGATGTTTTGACTTTCTCTAACTACAAATTGAACCAAATTTAGTACACATTAGTACAAATTTCCAAACTTTCCAACATATCCCAATCCTACATCCCAAAAGTGATCCTAACAACAAATTTCAGGATTCCAGCTCTATCGACTTACACCAAAATTCAAATTGTACCAAATTTCGTACCATTTAGTACAAATTTGTAAAACTGTCTATATCATATAGCCATTACAAATCATAGTTCTCAATTTCAGAATTCCAGCTCGATCGGTTCATCCTAACTCCAAATTGTACCAAATTTAGTACACATTAGTACGAATTTCCAAAAATACCAACAGTGATGCTAACACTAAATTTTAGGATTCCAGCTCTATCGCTTTCCCAAAAAAATAATAATAAGAATAAGTACTTCAATTTAAATTATGTTTCCCAATTTCAGGATTCCAGCCCGATTGGTTAACCCTAACTCCAAATTGTATCACATTTAGTACACATTAGTACGAATTTCCAAAACTTCCTACATATCTCAATTTTACACCCCAACAGCGATCCTAATTCCAAATTTCCAAATGTAATGGTTTACCTGAAAATTCAAATTGTACCAAATTTAGTACGATTTAGTACACATTAGTATGCATTTCCAAAAAACTACCTATATCATACAACAAATAGAAACCTTATTTCCCATTTTTAGAATTCCAGCCCTATCAGTTCACTTAAATTCAAATTTAGTACCATTTAGTACACATTAGTACAAATTTCCAGAACTATACATATTCCAATCCTACACCCCAAACCTGATCCTAACAAAAAATTTCATAATTCCAGCTCTATCGGTTTACATAAATAATCAAATTGTACCAAATTTAGTACGATTTAGTACGAATTTCCAAAACTACCTATATCATACATAACATACAACTGAAGGAAATCATATTTCCTAAGGTCCAGCCTTTATTACACATTAGTACGAATTTCCCAAACTACACTCCAACAGCGATCCTTACTTCAATTTTTAAGATTACAGGTCTATCGGTTCACCCAAAATTCAAATTGTACCAAATTTAGTACCATTTAGAGCACATTAGTACGAATTTCCTAAACTACCTACATATCTCAAGTCTATAATGCAGTAGTAATCTTTTTTCCAATTCTCTGTATGAAAACTCTATCGATTCGCCCAAATCCAAATTGTACTGAACATAGTACCATTTTGTACTTTTCGTACACTAAGGTACACAAATACAAAATTATCTACATATCCCTATCCTATACTCCGATGGTAATGTTAGTTTCAAATTTCCATCCATCTGTTCATCCAAATACAAATAGTACCAAATTATGTACCGTTTAGTACTTTTCGTATATATGAGTACACACTTCCAAAACCATCTATTTATATCGATCATAATTCTTAAAGAAAAATCACCTACATATCCCAACCCTACACTCCGACGGTAATGTTATTTTAAAATTGTACCAAATTTAGTACTTTTCGTACGCTCTTCCAAAACAACCTCCTTATATCGGCCCTACTTCTTAAACAAAATTATCGGGATATCCCCACTCTACACTCCGACGGTAATGTTAATTTCAAATTGTACCAAATTTAGTACGGTTTAGTACTTTTCGTGTACACACTTCCCACCTCTTCATATCGACCCTACTTCTCAACCTTAATTCGCATTCCAAATTTCAAATATTTAGCTCTGCCCGTTCACATGCAACGAAATTGTAACAAATTTAGTACATTTTGTACTAAATTTGTGTTTAAACAAATTAGTACATTTTAGTACTTTTCGGATACTTATAGTTCGATTTTGCAAAATCTCTACCAATTAGCCTCATTTCAAATTTAAGAGTTCTAGCTCTACCGGTTCGCCAAATACAAATGGTACCACATTTAGTACTCTTTTATTAAATTTTTAGCCTTACAGAAAAATTTCAAAATTTTATCTCAAAATTCACAATTTCTTTCTGTTTCTTTTTTCAAATAAAGAATGAAAAAAAAAATAATAAAAAAACAAAATTTCCGCAACACTTACCTGTATGAACACGACAATGATCTTTCATATGATGACGCAATTTAAACGCTTTACCACAAAATTCACACTTAAACGGCCGATCACCGGTATGCACCGGCAAATGTTGTATGAGTGAGGTAACATCGGGAAAACTCTTACCACAGAATTTACATAGAACAACACTATTCGGATCATTGGACGACATTGCGGACGAACCCAGCAGCGATGAGGCCGATGAACTGGCTGCTGCTGCAGCAGCTGCGGCCGCCGCCGCTGCAGCCGATGTTGACGAACCAGCGCCACTTAACAGCGATAGACTGCTCGAGGGACAACCACCATTACCGGATGAGGTGCGACTATCATCGTCCAGACCACTGCCACGACCACCACCGCCAGCACCGCCTCTGGAATCGCGGCCACCACGTCCCGATGACGATGAACCTCCACCGCCGCCGCCGGCACCACCACTTCCATCGAGATCCAAACCACGACCCGTACAACTGGCAAGCGAGGAAAAAGCACAACCACCAGCCGCTGCTATGGCGGCGGCAAAATCAATATCCATGGCCATGGCGGCAACGGCAGCCGCCTGTTCCTGGGGATCACCCCCGGCGGCTGTGGCTGCCATGGCCGCGTTCATTTGGTATGCTAACGGTGACATATTTAAGTCGTGCGTCAACAGGTGCGGATGTAAGAGGGGATGGGTGGCGGCGCTTTCACGGTATTCCAATGTCTTTAGCGAATGCGACAGAATATGGCGTGTCAATTTACTCTGGGTGGGGAAACCGGCAGCACAATAAACACAGGAATAGGGTGGTGGTGTACGCGGATGATCATGCATGTAACTGGAGGAGGAGGCAGTGTTGATGGACGATGAGGCACTGGGACAGAGGCTACTGCTGCCAGCACCACCGCCCACACCACCACTGCCAATGGACCCACCACCAATGCCACCGGCATTGGAAATGCCAGCAGAGCCTAAGCCATGTGGCGATTCAGACGTTTCCTGCAACAACACCAAACAAAAATCCAAACATCAACTTCTTTTTCTTCATCGTTTTTTTTTTCAGTTTTGTTTTTAATTTTGATTTTTTGTGAGTTTCGAAAAATTTTTTTTTGAAATACAAAGTTTTTTTAAGCTTCTTCTTCGTTTTCTTTGTCGTTAATTTCAAAAATAACGATTTTTATAGAAAAAAAATATTTTATAGAATAAATTTTCAATTTTTAAAATTTCTTATAAAAAATTAAAAAAAAGGAGAGTGGAAACAGAAAAATTAAGTCTTAGAAAAAAAAAACAAATACAAAAAATCTATATTTATTTAAAAAAATGGGAAATTAAGGGGGATTTTCAAATTCAAAACTAAGTCCATTTGTGGTGGGAAAATTATAATGAAAGGAAAAAAGTATTGGAATGTGGTTATACTTTTGTAATTGTTGTAATTCATTTACTCAGTTCATACCAAGATTTATTTGTAAAAAATATTTCAAATACTAGAGAAAATATAGATTTGTTTTTTTTTTTAATATTGAACAAAAAAATAGATTTTCTTATTTTTTTTTTAATTTTCGCAAAAACAAGAGGGTGTTTCAGCGTTTATTTTTTTCTTTTATTTTTCATATCTGAACGTTGTTATTGTTGTTGTTTCTGTTGCTTAAGAAGTAGTTGTTGTTTATTAGTGGTGCTAATATCCTTTTATTTTGTTTAAAATTAATATTTTAAATTATTATTTCATTTATTTACTTATTTTTTTTTCTCAAGAAGTTGAATTTCGATTTTTGTTTGGGCGCTGTCAAAGAAACGTGTGTTTCGTATTTTTTTTTATTTTATTTTTACGCACTTTTCCAAAAAAAAAAAACTTAGCGAGTGTGTGTTGGTTAAACCGCGTTTGTTTCATATATATTTTTTTAATTTTTTTTATTTAAACATAACATATACAAACAAATGGTGAAAAAAGAGCGTTTGTCGTAGATGATAATTTTTTTTCATTCTTAATACAATTAGTTTAAGACAAAAATTTTGAAAAAAATAAATTATAGACAAAAATATAAAATTTTTCATTTAAAAAAATTTTTTGAATATAATTTAACTGCTATGCCAATTTTGAAGTGTTCCAAATGAGGTTTTGTTTTTTTTTTGCTCTAGATTATAGTTTATGAATATTTTCCCCCATACATATGTACAAAAAATACATACATATACAAAGGGATGTCATTCAAAACCAAAAAAAAAGTATTTTTTCCAAAAAGAATATACTAAGCCGAATATATATTTAATTTCCTTATAATTTAATTCCAAGTGTTTTTTGTTGTTATATAATAAATATTTTCAAGAAGTTTTTCCACAGAGTTTGTTTTATTTTATATTTCAAAAATCATATTATATATTAACATAAAATGTATAAGAAAAAACAATTTATTGTATATATATATGCATTTCATATATATAAATAAATTATTTTTATTTTCTTGCCTTATTGTAAGCCACTCTTTTTCCATTGTTTTTCTTTTTTGACGTTTTCTTAGCATTAAAAATATAAAAAGTTTTTATTTATTTCATTTCATTTAATAACATTTATTTTGAAAGAAAGAATGTAACAAAAAAATGATAATTAAAATAAATAACACATTTAGACTTTTTTAAATGTCAGTTTTAATTAAATAGGCCATTTCCAAAAAACGTAGATCAACTTCTTGACAATAATTTCAATATTTTCCGTTTAAATCATAATCATAATTTTTGCGCTGATTCTTTTTTTGTTTTGTGATTTGCATAATTAAAATATTAATTTTAAATAAAATAGGTTTTAAGAATATATTTGCTTTTGTTGTAAATTTAATATTACACTTCTATGACATTTTTGTGGATATTTTTGTTATTCTTTATAACATATAACAATTATTTATTCTTATTGAGAGCATTGGTAACCCTAAATACTGATTAGTCGTTTTTAATGGGAAACCATCAATTGCTTGTGTGTTCATATTCTATTGCCTACTTTTAGGCAAAACATTATTGCTGTGCGTGTTAATTTGGCAACTCACAAGCTCTTCACATACTAACTAATTCTGATAGTACTAGGTTTTCGATAATTAATAATTAATTATCGATAACTTCAAATTATCGAAGATTTCTAATTTCCATAAAAAATCGATAATTAGAGATTTTTATAAGTTAACAATTAATATAAAATAGTTGCTAAAGAGGAGTATCAGTTTTGCACAAGTTTTTAAGTTGTTATTTGGCGCCCAATCACGAACTGTATTAAGAGGGGAATATTTGTACAATACTAATGAACATTGATGAAACCATTTTGATTTAGAATTACAGAGAATTCCGCTAGGTAGGTCAATATTTTGGTATTTCGAATACGAAATACAAATCCTCATACACTTGAATCTTGATTAAAACTTCCTGAAATATTTATGTAACGCTATACAGGGGGCTATAGAAAAATATATCCCTATATCAACAATTTATTCCAAGGCGTTATATACCTATTTAGAAAACAAAGATGTTTCCTTTATTTCTCTTTCGAGATGAGATATTACAGTCCCACCATTATTCCACGCATTCCACCATTAGTTAAGCGGCTCATCAGGCATATTGGGCAATGTGGCTTACAAATGTTGTTACTTAATATGTTGAATTTATGTCGAAGGTTGTTACGAAATTGTATCTTCGAATTAAAGTCAACCGTGTCATGGCTTGGACATTTGACATCATACCAGAACATCCCTTTTCAGAGGTGATTTTTCTTGTAGTGACGGATTTATCTACAATATTTTTCTTTCATGGTATACAACTGCATATTGTGCAACCATAGGAAGAGGTGGCTTTGAGCGCCAAGACGCCGGACAACAATCGAGAAATGCCAAAGGAACCAATGTTCAAACCTCAGCCGGACATATAGGATGATAGAAAAGTCGATGAGTAATGTAGACGTATCAATTGCTTTGTTCGAATAAGGGGTGGACCAAAGAAGCAATTCTAAATTGTCGTTTATCTGCCCACGAGTCACGACCTGTTGCCATCCTGCAACCGTGAGCAAACATCTTCCACAGATATGGGGCCGAAAATGGATAGGAATTTAAGAAGCAGAGGGGAAGAAAAATCTCGATCCAACCTTTCGTGACTGTCGGGAACTCAAATTCCGACTCTGAACATGTGGTTATGACAAACATTACCGTCTTAGAATACCGGAGGAGTGAAGAGATTGATAAGATAGCAAGGGAAATTAGTAAGGTAATCGCCGGGCTCATAACAACGAAAAAGCAGAATATCTGGGACACTGGCCAAATTGAAACAGAGGATTAAATGCGAACCGCAAGTGAATGCTCAGATAAATAAACTAGACTTTTCCTTTACTTCGTCGATAGCGGTAAAGAGTATTAGGTCTCCGGAAGAACAGACGAGTACCAAGCCCACCTAAAAAAGCGCTTCCCGTCGGCTAGAGAATTCATCGAAGCTTCAATTCCTCGGAAGAGACGAAAATCATTAGATCTCTGGAAGAGGAGACGAGTGTCAAGCCCGCTTAAAAGAAAAATAGATTCCCGTCGGCTCGAGAATCCATCGATTGAGGGCTGCATAGCTGGCTCTAATATCAAGAAGACGAATCTTTCAAAAGAAATGAGAATTCTAAAAGGAAAAGCCCGACTTTCGAAAGTGGAAGTGGGTAGCAATCAAGGAATCGCCATCTTACGCGTAGGTTTGCTGGAGTCGCTACAGAGAAGAGCCTTGCAAAAGTCGACTTTTTTAGACTTTTCGAGTTTGGCCTTTGATTAAAGTCGACAGTTCAATTTTGTCAACCGTGTTCAAAACTGACTTTCGAATTTTACTGACAAATGCAAAATCAATTAAAATTTGGTCTTAACTCTAAATTATTAAAAACGATCAGATTTTTCTGAAATTTTTTCCAGAGGTAGGTATTTTTACCCTAATTATGGGAATATATTTTTTCTTGGGGGACATACCCGATTATTTGACTCGGAAGTTCGGATACGGGTACCCAGTTATATCCGGTTCTGCGGACCCGGTTAATATAATATATATTATTTTAAATATCGCTCCGTTTTAGAAAGGGCAAATTGTGGTCTGTTATTTGAGTCAAGATTGCAGAAGGATTATAATGGACCCAAATTCGACATTTAGGGAGTTTTTCAAAATAATCGGGGACCAAAACACATTTTTTTGACTGTTTCTCCAAAACGGTTTGAGATAGCACCATCATATCACCACTTAATGGAAAGCTATAACCCTTAAAATGATACCCATTTTGTATTAACCGGATCCGTAGAACCGGATACTATCTGTCAAATGTTTTCTAGTAATATTTCTCACGGTTGGCAACATAGCACATCGAGTTCAAATAGCTAAATGAACTAACTATTTATTTTGCATGACATTTGCTAAGCAAATAAGAAATCGCTTAGTTTTAAAAATTATGAAAGAATTTGAAGAAGGTGTTAGAGGCCGAATTATTCAGTACATAAATTCGACAACGTACATTTCAATTCAAATATCCAAAATGGAGGACTGGACTGACGTATCTCAGTCTAATTTAAAGCATAAGGAGAATTGCTAGATCAATACAGTGCAAAGGCACTGTAAAACAATTTCATGTATCGTGGCGTATTAAATAACGTGATTCTGCCCGGGGCTGAAGAAGAGATGTATATAACGACCAAACATACGTCAAAAGTCGGTAAGGAGTGGTTTCAAAATAATTGGATAGACGTTCTCTCTTTTGGCCCTGATAATAAATTAATCGAAAACTTATGGTAGAGATCGATAACTCAGAAATAGCAAAACCGAAAAAAATATTTGATGGCGGAAAATATCCTCCAAGGAGATGAAACATCCAAATTAGTCAAATCAATGCCAAAACGGTTTACAGAGATCGAAATATTTAAGATAGAGCTCTGAAATTTTGTTTGGTATTGCAAATGGAATCTATCGGTCCACATTTTGGTGTAGCCCCTATATAACGGTAGCCCCAATATTCGGAA